AGAGATAGGTGGCGGTAATGCACTTATAAGTCTGCGATCCGCTGTAATGCAAGAAGAAGAAGAAGACCCGTCACGCACCGGCTGTCGAGGACGCGCTCAGGACAGTTGCAGTGCATCAGAGGTAAAAAACGATATAAATACTGTTCAGTTTCTTGCACAGACCGATCATTTCGTGTCTTTACACATCAATGTATCGTCACAAGCCGCAGGGTTTAATTTGGTTTTGTTTGTGTATGTTTTTTTTTACTCTCAAAGCCATGATTCCCATTCACTTCCATTATAAGACTGACAGACTGCAACGGTTTGAGTTAAAAATCTTTGTTTGTGTTCTACTGAAGAAACAAAGTCACCTACATCTTGGATGCCCTGGGGGTAAGCAGATAAACATCACATTTTCATTTTTGGGTGAACTATCCCTTTAAGTTAAGTTCACTTACACCGTGGATCAGTATCATTAAATATTTATTAAGGTCTATTCAAAGAAAATCTGTGAATGTCCTTTTGAAAGACATATAGTGATTAAGGCATTGCCCTTTTGCCGAGTATCGCTAGTCACATCTAATTGACACAACTTCCAGAATGCTGTTAGGGCATGCTTGGATGATTTTAATAACTAAACAGCATGCAATAATTATTGAAAAAACAAAGAAAGCCATAAATGAATAAGCAAGACTCCAAAGCAAAAATGAGAACATGCATGGTGAGGATGGTTGTTTGTGTGCTAAGGCAACTCTTTGAAGTCAGTGCTGGTCAACACATCTGGCGTCTATTGAATAAAGCTGTTGTTTGTTGAATTGTCGGCAGTGTGCATGTGTGTGTCTCCATATCACTACTGTAAGTATTGGTTGAAAGCCTAAGGTTGTACATGGTCAGTTTAACAATGTGTATTGTCACTTCACTGTATATTTACTGTATATATACAAATACAAATGTCTGAACATCAAGAGTCAACAAATCAAAAAGAGTGAACATCAAAGAGATCAGCTTTCTCCTTTTTCCCTCGCAGAATATAGCTGCAAACCATCAAAGGGCTATCCTGTGGTTCCTAGGTGATGTAAAACAGACTTGCATGTGGTTAACAATTAAAATATTTAACCATAATTTTAGAAAATCATGTTCAAAACATATCCAGATACCCTTGAGTCTAAGTGGCAAACGAAGCTGTTAATGTTGTTAAGCAGAATGAGGCCAGAAGAATTAGGACCGAACGATTGATTTTCACATTATAGTTTATTACAAGGGTTTATAAAATTACCAAGTACATTTAAGAATCACTGTAACATAAAGGAGGGGAAAACATTCATATTTGAACTAAGTGAAATGTGGATTTGTAAAAAGGAATAAAATATATGTACAGACAAACTCAACAATCAACAAAAGAACATAGACAAATGGCACTCAAAATAAACATATCTCGCAAGTGCTTCTGTTTATTAATATTAACTAAATGCAATGATAATAATGATAACCAAAAATTATAATTATTACAATAACATAAAACCATATTAACATTTAAACACTGTGTACAATACAGTATAACTGAAATCCATATCATTCTAAATAGAACAGTATTTACCAACAGACTTTACTTATACTAGAACTCTATTCTGAAATATAACAAAAATAGCACTTAAAATAAGATTTATTACAATAATAATAATATTAATAGCAAGAATATTAGGATATTAGACAATGCAAATATGCTTTACCCATGGCTTTCTAATAGGTGAAATCCCTCTTGCTCTCACATTTGCTTAGAAATAGCAAAACTGTACTGTAGCTGAAGGTATAGCAATCTACTCTCTGTTAGAAAATGGTACACTGAAAGCAGCAGACATTAATTCATCCATTCATTAATTCATAAAAAAGATCAGTGGCATATTTTATCAAAGAAAAGTTCTTCGCGTGGCCTGTAGATGAAGTGAAGGAAGAACCCTCGTCAGGTTGCTCAGAGTCCTAGTGCCTCTCGCCCAACCGTCTTTAAAGTCCCTTCAGAGAAAACTCTCCTGATTGGTGGTATATAGAGTTACTGGCTGATGATTGTCCAATCAGTTCCACCATCATCTACTGTATGTTCAGTTTAATTTCTTCGTATATTGATGTGGAGTAGCAGGAAAAAAAGAGAAGCCTTCCTCTTTGCAGAGGTCAGTTGGCACTCTGCTCCATCATATAAATAAAAAGCGACTCCCAAAGCAGCATATACGACTTGTTTTTTTGTTGTTGTTTTTTTTTGCTTTTTTTCATACATGTCTTCAAATATAACATTTGCAGCAGGAATGAGTCCCTCATTCCCTCTATAGCTTGTTTTGAGAGCCTGCACTGGTTACTTTTCTCTTATAGTCTCTGTCTAGATATATCTCTCTTCATCCATCGCCTCTTTTTCACGCTCTCTTAAAAAGAATATTATGAATTGTCACTTATGCAGAGAGCATGTATAACAAGTACTGGGTTAGTCTGAAAGCTCCTTCTGTACTGCTAACACACCTGAGTAGATTACACAACCCTCCCATTCATTCTAGTTTACACTGCCTACTCTAACTCCTAATACCTTAGCTGAAAAACAACCTGTCCACTCACGCAAACAGGCACACAAGAAAAAACACGTATTTAAACACACACACAAAAAGGACACACATACTGTATATACATATTCATGAATTCAGCATCCACGAAAAAAAACACTCACACAAAACTTCTCATCTCAAGACCCTGTGACATCTACATCGGCTTTTATGACTGTCCCTTTCGCCTCTTCTTTTCTGAAACCTTCCTCTTGTGCTCTCCTGATGTAGCAATACGTTCAGTTCAATTTATATATTTATGATATACTTCTTTACAAATGATAGACTATACATTTTTGGCAAATGAGAGTTTTTTCGACTTCAGGTGACAGCTCAAGGTATGAAGTCTGTTCCTTCTTCTGCCCAGTCTGTCACACGGTGGCATCCAACATCTCGTTCGACTTGGCCATGATCTGGTTCTGATTGGAGTCGAGGCCGAAGAATTTTACACGGAGGCCGTCGGTGGGGTGCACCACGGGGACTGAAATCAAGCGCGGGAATGTCCGCGTGGCCAGCTCGAAGCGACTCCCTCCCGCGAGCTCCACGGCCAGGAGTTTGAGGAAGAGAGTGGCCAGCTGCTTGCCGAGGCAGGAGCGAACGCCACCGCCAAAGGGCAGGTAGTGGAAGCGGCCCTCGCGATCCTCGTTTCGCTCTGGGCTGAACCGGTCCGGATCGAAGGCCTCCACATCCTTGAACACAGCTGAGGTGTCGTGGGTGTCACGGATGCTGTACATGACACTCCAACCTTTGGGTACCTGTACACCCTGAAAGATGGCCAAAAAGGAGGTTAGAAGTGTTGTTATTGTTAATTAAAACTATAAAAATATAATATAAATAATACAGAATATAAAAAGAATATCAAATATAAATATGTGACCCTGGACCACAAAACCAATCATAAGGGTCCATTTTTCGAAATTGAGATTTATACATCATCTGAAAGCTGAATAAGTAAGCTTTCCATTGATGTATAGTTTGTTGGGATAGGACAATATTTGGTCGAGCTACAACTATTTGAAAATCTGAAATCTGAGGGTGCAAAAAAATCAAAATATTGAGAAAATCACCTTTAAAGTTATCCAAATTAAGTTCTTAGCAATGTATATTACTAATCAAAAATTAAGTTTTAATATATTTACATTAGGACATTTACAAAATATCTTCATGGAACATGATCTTTACTTAATATCCTAATGATTTTTGGCATAAAAGAAAAATCAATAATTTTGACCCATACAATGTATTGTTGGCTATTGCTACAAATATACCCCAGCGACTTAAGACTGGTTTTGTGCTCCAGGGTCACATATTAGGTGGAAAAACTTCAATGAAAATTAGAAATGTTGGCAACTAACTGAAATAAAACAAGTTTTAAAGTGAAGTACTAAAACTGAAACTGAAATAAATTTAAAATTAAAGCTAAATGGAAATATTAAAAAAAAAATTATTGTAAAAAATGACAAAAACTCGAAACAAACATTTAAATGAAAACTGATGATATAAAAATAAAATCTAATTCAAAATATTAATAAATAATTTATATTTACATCATTTAGCAGACGTTTTTATCCGAAGCGACTTACAAATGAGGACAATAGAAGCAATCAAACCAACAAAAGAGCAATAATATGTAAGTACTATGAAAGGTCCTGGTTAGTAATATAATACAATAGTATATAAATAATACTGGTTATAAGGATAAACCAGGTGAGCATTCACATTAACAACAATACAAAACAATAAAAGCATAGTTAAAACAAAAGATAATTCCAACATCATCTACTCATCATCAAGTCTTTCCAAACCTGTATGACTTTCTTTTTTCTTTGATATTTTCATGAACACTGTGGTCCAACTGGAACCCCACTGACTTGTATAGATAACTTTTTTTCCCCTTAAAACATTTTAATATGTTTCTCACAGAACAAAAGTATGTCATACTTGTTTGGAACAACATGAGGGTGAGTTTTATATTTGGTTTAAAGTAGCTACAGATCTTCAACAACTCACATCCAGCTCAAAGGTCTGTGTGGCAATGCGGTAACCTCCGGACACGGGGGCAAACAGACGCAGGACCTCTTTGATCATGCAGTCCAGGTACTTGAGGCTAATGATGCTGTCCAGTCGCAGTTCACCCTGGCACAGACAGCCGTCATGCAGCAGGCCACAACTCCGCAGCTCCTCGCGCAGCTTCTCCAGCACCGCAGGGTGTCGCAGCAGCTGCATGATCAGAGACGTGCTGGCGCTGGCTGTTGTGGCAAAAGCAGCGAAGATCAGCTCAATAGTGGACTCCTGCAGGACAAAGAAAAAGGTCTGTGGTTTAATGACACATATATGGACACTAGTCCTAGATATTTGACACTAATATTCTGGCACGTTGACATCTGTTACTGATGAATTGTGGCTTGATTGCTGTGATAAAACTTTGCAGAAACTCATATCTGTCGTAATTCATTTTTAAATGTCATTGCTACTTGAATTGGGCGATACAATGCAAAATAACTTTTATATTTTAATATATTTTAAAATGTAAGTTCATTCTGTGGCAAAGCTTAATTTTCAGCAGCCATTACTCCAGTCTTCTGTGTCACATGATCCTTCAGAAATCATTCTAATATACTGCTCTGGTGCTCAAGAAACATTTCTTATTATCAATGTTAGTTCTGTTGCTTAATATTTTCTTTGGATTCTTTGATGAATAGAAAGTTTAAAAGAACAGCATTTTGAAACATTATAAGTGCATTTACTGTTAATTTTAATGCATTCTTGCTGAATAAAAGTATTAATTTCTTTTTTTTTTTAATTACTTGACCCTAAACAGTAGTGTAGATATATTGACTCTAGTCTAGCTACTTAACCGCAATCTAACTTTTTCTGAAATTCTTAGGATGGAGCTGCTTTACTTCTTTTCTTTCCTTCTTTCTTCTTTTTTCTTTGAGGTTTGGCAGCCATCTTACACAGGTTTCTTTTCTCTCTCTTCTCTCTCCCTCCCTATTTTAACTGCTTGCCAGTGAGTTGGTGTTGACAGGCCTGGGAGCCACCCCTGCCGCCACTGTCTGAGGAGAATACGCATGTACCTTACAAAAGAAAAAAGCTGAAACGTCTGAGCCGAGTGGAATAACCAGGTAACAATAGCCTACAGGGAAGCATTTATTGACTATTATCTGTGTCATTAAATGTCTGTCATCCTGGTTTGGGCATGGGACTAGAGAACTGAGCAGGAGAGAGAGAAGAGAAATAAAGAGCGCAGTCAGTGGGTAAAGTGTGCAGCCAGAGAGTCGCTGCAAGCCTCTCAATATCGTAGTGTTGACTTCCTGTTTTGCTTTAATATGTAATCAAGTAATCACAATTTGACCTCACACTGAAAACGAAATGAAAAGAAAATGATTAGCATAGTAAGACTGGGAGGATGACTGTGGGGTGAAAACCATGACCAGTTTTACGAATGTGTAATGTACAGCATTAAATAGATATGACAGCTCAAAATACAGCTGAAACTAATCTCAAATCATCAAATGTATGATAAAATATCTCCATTTCAGTAAGACTGAGAGAGAACTCCTCTATAATGTAGACTAGGCGGCCAATGAGGTTTTTAACACAGACTGCCTCGCTTTCTACTGCCTACCTAGTCAGCTGCCTTCTAAGAAAGTATCCCAACAGAAGTGAAAACTGTCTTCAGTGAGTGATCTGAAAGAGCCTACGTATGCTACAACAGTCACTCACACACGACACAAAGTGCACAAGAGGTGCTCACATTTGATTCCAGTGGAGTTTGACATTAGCATTTTGCTAAGCTAATGACATGATAGAAAACACAGTCTGATGAAACAATTTATTAGCAGTTTTTAGTATCATTATGCTGTACATTTATAATCAACATTTCTCCTCACAGTAGCTGAATCACTGTAAGCTTTTTCCACTTTTTGTCATGATTTTTCAAAATTTGGTGAGTGATGTTTGGAATAGCTTTAGCACAGGAAAGCGCACATATGAGGGCTTAAAATGTTGTCTATGTAGGCAGCTTTTGGAACAAGGTTTTAGAACAAAGCTGTAGTGTATTAGCGCTGCTTCGCTCACCTTGAGCTCCTGCATCATAAGCTCTGTGTTGTTCTCCTTGGCGCTCTCTAGAAGCACATCGAGAGCGTCAGTGTAATCTTTCCCCTGGGTGTGGAGTGGTTTCTCTCTGATGGCTTTTTCTATGCTTTTCTGGAGTGAGTCTCTTGCACGAATACCCTGCAAACACACAATTCTATTAGCTGATCTACCACTGTGTTCCTAATGCGCAGAAACCGTCTAATCCATTTCTCCATTTTGAAGTGATGTAGACAATACATATTGACATTTTACCTTCCTATAGCCACTAAACGGCAGGTCGATGGGAAGGCTAAAAACGTTCTCCACAAAATCCTGGAAAGTGCGGAAAAGACAGTGCATCTCCTCTTCAGAGACACGGAAACCCAGGAGCACACGCAGTGCCATATGGAAGGAGAGCCGCTGGGACTCACGATAAACGTTGATAGGGTCAGGATTAGAGCTCCACACCCGCAGGGTCTCCTGAATGACCTGCTGGATCTTGGGCAGGTAGCTCTCCAGAGCCTCATGACTGAAGACTTTAGCAAAGATCTGAGAAACACAATTGAAAATGCAGTCAGTCTGCTGTGTTCTGGTGTTTGCACCAATAGAGAACCAATTTGACAGCATAAACAGTTTTGCAATCAGTTGAGAATTTGATAAATTTATAGCTGCAAGTCCCAAAACTTCATCTTCATAAGAACAATGTATTTTACCAAAGAGCCCAGGACATTATCTGACTGGCCCAAGAAAGCAATAGGAGGCATCTGCTTCCAAAAACATGCAGGTTTATGAACCTGACCAGATATTTGACACTGCAATATTATTTAAGAGTTTGTATCTACATGTATATTGCATGAAAACAGAGTTGCACTCTTCTAAAAATACTAAACATTTGTTTTTGATTCAGGCTTATGGACCTGCATTGCTGAACTACACTTCCCACAATGCAGCTGGCCCATGAATCACATCATCCATCACAATCCAGAACCTCTGTGCTCTACAGGCAAGAAATGTCACAAAAATATTATCCTGAAGCCACAGTCAGCACCTAAAGGCCAAGCTTATTTGTCTAATAGTTTGAAGCATGGAACATTCTCATTAACTCTGAAGTCTTCACTGTTTTTGACCTTCTTGTACTCTTGACTGCCACTCACCTACCTCCACCTCGCTCTCAGAATATCTGAGAGAGTTTCCCTCTGCATCAGCAGTGAGGGTGAAAGGCGAAGGTAAGATTTTCCTGGCCGCGGCAGCGCATTTCCAATGTACCTCAGTTGTGCTGGTTTGTTTAGTGAAATAACGTCCATGTTCCAATGTCCACAACTAACAATAGCACTTTTTATATGCCATCTCAATCCAAATACCTCTACTCCGCCCCGCTTTTTTCCACAGTAGTAAAGGGAAGGGGGCAGAGACTTGTGTGTCCTCCTCCTGTCTCTCCGTCTGACTTTCACTCGCCGAGGCCCGTTTCTTTGTGTCTCCTTTCCATGCTGTTCTTCTCTGACCCACTTCATTTCTAACTCTAACGATCAACTGGCTGTTAGTATATCATTTAGGTATTAAAAGCTTATTTCACACCTATTTACACTTGGTTTTCAGTGTCCTTCTTCATGTACGTAAAACCACCAGTTATCTGTCCATTCTATTACATCATTAACATCGGATCCTTTTCTGGCACGTTACAGTGGTTCACATGTGTGGAGAAAAAACGACTACAAGCATGTTTGCGTCACACATCTCTCTTAGCTGCTACCCATAAATTAATAAATACAGTACAACACCATATTTATACTACTTATTGGTTTGGGATTTTTTTTGAAGGTTACTATTTTCCTTTTGCGAGTCTTTGCGTACTAGACAGACGTCAGTCAAGCTCCACTAATGCCAGTCCCCATTATACAAGATTTTGAACACTACAGGAAAAAAAACAGCCGCCTGTCTTCATTACAAAACGTGACTGCACTTTCCACACACATACACACACGGCCTTTTAAAACTCCCCCACCCTAATAATTTCCATATGTCTTAAATTATATGAAACTGCTCAAAGCTGCTGGTTTGACCAGAATGTAAAGACCTCTTTATTCTCTCCCCCAAACCATTCACTTTCTTTACACTTCTCTCTACTTTTCCAATCTCTCTCTCTCTCTCTTCTCTCTCTTCCCCGCTGACTAAAACTAATTCCCTCATTCAGAGCGAGAGCACTTTGTGTAGGCAGGTGAGCGCAGAATTAAGATCCTGTGCCCTCTACTGGCCAACCTAATAAATTCAACTCCTCACCAGATCCACAGTTTGATAGGCCTTCTGCTCCATGGCTGTATCAACAAGTGTGATTTAGTTCATCAATGAGCTGTTGTGCATCCTGTTAATGACCAGCACATCAAATAACTTTTGAAGTTCCATTAATACAGTTTAAATCAAATATAATTTGCTTTCTTCTAGGAAATTATATAATTTATATAGCTTCATCACAAGCTCACAGAGCCGTTTGGATCTAATGCTCCAGTACATGTATAGCAATGGTCTTCAAAGAGACATTTACAGTAACTTCTTTTCTTTCCCAAATGTCCCCTAGAACGGGAGAGCTTAGAGGCTGTAAAAGGCTGTGTTGATGAACATACTGTACCTTTCCAGTCTAAAATATAGACTGTACATTGCTGTACACCTCCAGAGAGGTTCAAGAACAAATTAAAATATATTTATGACATTAGTGCGCAGAGCAGGATGTTGAAACCAGGCTGAAGGGGGTCCATAAGGTGGTCTTTGTCCGTCTGAGGCTGGCTGACTAATTAGCAGTCATTAGGGGGCTTACGTGAGGCCCTGGACCTGGAGGATTAACCAGACTGATTACACCCCGCTGACCCCTTAATGGAACAGGTGTGTGGGGTGAAACTCAAGCCTCCAAGGGACTGAAGAGAACCAGGGTCCACAAAAAAGCTTTTTTGTCTCCGGACAATGGGTTGGATTTGAAGAGAAGCTAGTTATGAGCGTAATCCTCCATTGTGAGCAGACTGATCTGTGTAACAATAGTGCACAGGGGAGCAAGGCATTGTGGGTATCTGTCTCCAAATCTGGACCTAAGGATAGCAGAGCCTTTTTATATTTGACCTTCTATCTTGTTTCTTTCACTCCATCTATGGTTCTTACCATTTTGTCCTTCCACAAATTCAAAACATCTTTCACTGACAAGGCAGGGAAATGGTGCACACAAAAACCATCCATTAGGAGATAAGGATGGTTCCCACACATAATAAAACTACATTTGAGTGTACATGGACCTTACCTTTCTCCTTTTGCGGTGGATGTCTCCTATAGAGTTGGCCAGACTGTTGGGACCCAGTAGAGTGCTGGTGCTTTGGGGCCAGTCCACAGTGACCAGGCTGTGCTCTCCCATCAGGACCTTACGCACATTCTCTGCCCCCGTGACCCGGATGAGCGGCCGTCCGAGCAGGTGAGTCTTGAATACGTTCCCATACTTCTGCCTCCTTGACGCATGGAAACCTGCGCCCTGAAAAAGAGAACCAGGTGCAAGAAGAAGAAAACTCATTAGTTGCAGATCAAGAGGCATTAAACCATAGATATAAATTACCTTTTAATTGATTCTTGGATTTTTTTTTTACTTTAATAACTCACCGACATGCCTGTAACATTGTCACTGTGCTTTTTTTTATTTTTGCCAACAACAGCTGTTGGTTTTAAACCCTAAATTGAACAGAATTATTACCTTTGTAGTTTCAATCACATTATTAACCTTTAGCCTAGCAATAACCCATAAAACTGAATGCAACACTGTAGGCTATGAAGTTTCCGTCGGTATATTACAGATGTAATGAGGTGTTAGGGCTAATAGGTATTTGGAATGAAGGGTGTTAGCTTTGTGGGATTAGCCCACTCTGTTTGTTTTTGTATTGTAAGGGCATAAGGGTCCCGTTCACTGCATTCTTTATGCAACTGGGTTAGCTTTAGCTAAGAACAGGCTCAGGCTTAGCCTTCGGGATCACGCTGAGAGAAGTGATCTAATGATTATATGAGCACAGCCATTAGCTCTGAGAAGTCGGTATGTTGCGTGAAAGATTGGCTGAAAGTGCTAATCAGCAAGGAATCCAGTACATCCTGCAAACTTTCACCTTTGACCCCTTCACCTCTACGATTTGAGAACAAGCAAAGTGATCTAAAAGAGATGTTTAAGGGTTACAGAAATACATTTCAGGCATTCTCAGGGCAGGAGACCTGAACCTGAATGGTGTATCATGGCCTATGCTTTAAGATTAGCCCACTCTGTTTTTGTATTGTAAGGGCATAAGGGTCCCGTTCACTGCATTCTTTATGCAATTGGGTTAGCTTTAGCTAAGAACAGGCTCAGGCTTAGCCTTCGGGATCACGCTGAGAGAAGTGATCTAATGATTATATGAGCACAGCCATTAGCTCTGAGAAGTCGGTATGTTGCGTGAAAGATTGGCTGAAAGTGCTAATCAGCAAGGAATCCAGTACATCCTGCAAACTTTCACCTTTGACCCCTTCACCTCTACGATTTGAGAACAAGCAAAGTGATCTAAAAGAGATGTTTAAGGGTTACAGAAATACATTTCAGGCATTCTCAGGGCAGGAGACCTGAACCTGAATGGTGTATCATGGCCTATGCTTTAACTGTAGCCATAACATCAGCCTGACTGAAATGTCTGAATGTTATGTATATTGTAGAGAAAATATACATAATTAAAGGCATTATTTTGTTCAATACTAAAGTCATCGTGCACATTCAAGTTCCGTTGAGCAGAATTTCTGAACATGATAAAAACTCTTAGCTCTGGAGTGAGTTGCTCTGTATAACACACAGTAATTGCCTGTAGCCCTCGAGACCTCTGCTGAGCACATAAAGGCCTGTAACCTCTCAGCCTCACACACACATACTGACCCCATGGCAGGAAGTGGCAGTAGAGCTGTTTGCTCCCCTTGCTACCCTCCCCCCTCCCTTACCAAAATTTGTGACCAGTTTCATCGAGCACACTCCAACACTCACACTCTTATTTGCGAGGATAAATTTAGCAGCATGCATGTCTTTTTTTCAGTTTGGCTGAGAGAAACTAGTCTGAATACATTTCAGCTCAGCATGCTACATGCATGCTTCTGTGTTAATGCGTGTTCAGTTGAAATGTGAAGCAAATTTGTTTTTGCAAGTACTGCTAAATCATAAAGTATTTCATTTTATTATAAATGATGTTTTGCCATTGACAGATTTCTTTTTGGAGTGCTTTTATGGCATTTACGGCTTAGGTGATTGGCTTAATATCACTTGTGTTCAGAACTGAGAACCCACAAGCCAATGTGGCAAAATTCAAACTGCCTACTTCCGGCACATTTTATAGTCTTTTCAAAACGTGTGTATGGACAGAGTTTGTCACATTCACTTTCCCACCATCTCCTGGTCTCAAAAATGAGGGACAGGTCCTGAGCATATTGTTGCTTTAACTATGATGGCAAGCACTTCCCAATGCCATTCCTGTCTGCACTATAGTCCAGCAACCAGTCTCTTTGGAGATGGGCAAATAAGCATTCCACCCCTTTTCGTGCACTTGTGGCCAGAGGCTGGGTTTCTCACCTCTATATATAAACAAATAAACAGATTAGTTCATGAATGATGTCTCGCCGTTGAGCTTTTATCACATATGTTGGCAAACATTAAAACGCATAAATGTACGGGCATAATCTGAAGTGCATCGCATTTTAATTTTTGACGTAAAACCATCTGTCAGTGGAAGCTTTAGTTCTCTATTTTGACCACTTTTTGATGCTTGTTTACTCTCTTCTGACCTTTGACCTTGGCTGACTGACACATCCAACACCTCCATAATAACAGAGACCATAAATGACAACCTTAGCTCAAGACTGGCTGAGATGTCTGAAGACTTAGCAAATGTCTTATGATCCGCATGGCACCTTGGCCCCTAAAATCCTATAACAAATTATCGGCTTAATTAAATAGCGAGATTATGAGATCAGACTAACGAGATATACGTATGCACACCGAGGCTAGACAAGGTCAGACAAAAGGAGATTAAGTCTCACTTTCTCATCTGCCAAAGTTTAACCAGAACTGGCAGAAAATGTGGGAAAAATATGGCTGTAAAATCTGCAGTGGTGGACAATTTAAACCATATTTCACACTTTCACACTTTTCTTTCTCAGTTTTCACAATTTTTCCTGCAAAAGCCTGTTTTGTGTTTTATAGTTTTGGCGGGATTATGTCATATTCAAACATTTTTGGTTCCTTGTTGGAAGGAGGTGAAAGAATTCCTGATTCTAGAATCATAACAGACCAATTTGGACTTTAGAAAAACAAGGTTTAGTCAGTAAGAAACACTTTTAGACTGTTGTTCTAAAACAGTATGACCGAAGCTTCCCCCAGAGGAACTCTGTCCATGGCCAAACAGACACATGGCATCCCGGGACCTCGACAGGTGTTAGACAGGGGGCGCAGCCACTGCGTGAACAGTGTGTGGGGTGAGAGAAATGTTCACTGGCCAGCTCAAGCCAGTCTATACTTAAAGACACTGAGGATTTCACATATCAGGTGAGTGTGAGGGCAAGAGGTAATGCTGACATGAACAACCACATGCACACACACACACACACACATCCAAAAGCACACTGGCCAGGTCTATACTTAAAGACACTGAGGATTTCACATATCAGGTGAGTGTGAGGGCAAGAGGTAAAAGAGGTAATAACAACCACATGCACACACACACACACATC